AGTCCACGAGTCATAAAAGAGCCAAGGTGGCCTACCCCTTTGCTATACCATCATTTTGCTTTGTCCCAGGCTCTGTCCAGGTGGTGGCCATCTTTGGTGGACTGCATGTTCCTGAGACTTTCTAGATGCAGTGTTCATGCGAGCAAGGAATTCTGCACAGGGCAGCCCCAAGGCGTGCAGACGCTGGGTATTGACACGGGGAGAGGGAATTGGGGCCCGCAGTTAGCAGTGTCAAACAGTCGAGCTTTTTGAGGGTATCCCCAGTGTCCGATTGAGGCAGCAGGAGATGGGAAACACCCTGCAGGGAGAAAACGACATCAGGAACCTGGCCTTTATGATATCTTATTCCTTGCATGCCAGTTTTCTGTCTGCCAGAAGTTAGTTTTAATTCACATTTTTAGCTCGTTGGGTTTTGCCTCTCAGCCTAAATCCTAAGAAAGGATCGGCTTTTCCCTGCAGATTTTTTTGCCTCCTTCCTTCCACTTCTTCCTTTCCCGCAGTCTCGGCCCCAGATTCCCACTGGCAGAATTCCCCCTGAAGCAACGTGAAAAATATTGGGAGAGTTTTCTTGGTGGCAGAAGAAGAAGAAGAGAGGGAAACTCAGCTAATTAATACTGGAAACACAAAGCAATAATTTTTGTTAACTCAGATGAATATGTTTGTCTGGTTTTTTTTTTCTAAAGAAGAAATAAAAAAAGCAGTCACAATCTGTCACAGTCCCCCCCCCCCCAAAAAAAACTGGTGCCTCTGGAGAGGACAGATGCAGCACCTCTCAACGCTGCCAGCATGGGGGGGGGTCTCCAGGTTGGGAATGTCTGATGGAAGGGGGTTTATTTTTATTCTAGTCTTTGGCTGGGGGGGGGTCAGGGGGCGTGACTGTCGAGTGGCACTCTTGTACCTTCTCCTTGGCACATATGCTGGGCTACTTCTATGCCAACCTTCTTTTTTAAAAGAAAATAAAGCTGTGTTTTTTATTAAGCCGGTTTTATTATATGTCAATGTTTGTTCTCACCATGCCTGTAACCCCCCCCCCTTTCCCCCCCAGATTTTCTGTTTTAAATTCCTAATAAATTATTTGAAAACAGCTCTGGCTCTGTGCTCTGCAAAAGGTGAGGGTTTCAAGATGCTTGGGGAGGGGGGGGTGCTCTTCCAGGGTGGGCCCCCTCCGGTGGGGTGTGCAGGTCTGTGGCTTTGGTTGCAAAGGTTTGACCAGCTGCAGGCTTAGCGGGAGAGCTAAAAGTCAAATTATGGGCACCTCTGGAGTGTGCTGCATACTGTACTTGGGATCTCCTAAACCAGGGGCAGGCAACCTTGGCTCTTTTATGACTGGTGGACTTCAACTCCCAGAATTCCTGAGCCAGCCATGCTGAGGGGAAAGGGAGAGGTTTCCAAGCTGAGCCAGGCTGGCTCAGGAATTCTGGGAGTTGAAGTCCACGAGTCATAAAGCGGCCTAGGCCTAGGCCAGAGGTAGGTAACCTTGGCTCTTTTATGACTCATGGACTTCAACTCCCAGAATTCCTGAGCCAGCCACGCTGAGGGGAAAGGGAGAGGTTTCCAAGCTGAGCCATGCTGCTGGCTCAGGAATTCTGGGAGTTGAAGTCCACAAGTCATAAAAGAGCCAAGGTTGCCTACCCATCCTAAACAAAAGGAGAGGAATCCTGCCTTAAGGATAAGGGCAACCAAGGGCACATCTGGGGCGTGACCCAGTGGTGGAAATGGATTCCAAGTTCACCTTTAAGGACCAGGAGCTCAAAGCCCTGGGCAAAGTCACCAGATGGGGACAGACTCGAGGCTCGCCAGGCCTAATGCTTCACCTAACAGCCGAGCATTGGCTGCAGCCGGTATTGAGCAGAAGCTCCTGAGCAGCCCAACAAACCCAGTGTCCTTGGGGAAGGAACAGCCACGTGGGAGAGGAGCTCTTACTTCTCTACCTGGGCGTATGTTGCTGTGCTTTGTGTGATGCTATGGAGACTCCGAAACACTGCAAATGCTAAGGCATGGGACTTAAGTCCCTGGTAGATGAGCATTTCCGCA